AACGGATTTCGCAAAATGACTTTGGTAAGAGACAAAAAGATCGAAACGTGAATTCTAGAATTGTAGACACTTGGCAGTATGTTGGACGAATTTCGTCCAAGGCAGAACCAAGCATCTTTACAGTGGCGAATTAAGGGGGGGTTGACAGGGGGGTCCTGACCCCCCCCCCCCTTCGATTACTGAAAAAAAACCTACACCAAAGAGACCCCCTCTTGAATTAATAGAATTTTGACTAGCAGAATCATAGTTGTAAACCGTACCAAATGACACCGTTCACCCTCTAAAATACCAATACCCTGGGGGGGGGGGGGGGGGGGCTTCGCATCCACGGATCGCCCCTTCAAATAATCCTGGATTCACCCCTTGTATCGCTACGACCTTTGCATGGCGAGGAATCTTTAAACATGACAAACTCAGAAACAAAGCTGAAACACTGTGTACATATGTTTTAGTGGAGAATAAGAAATTCTAGAACAACTTGGCAGTCGGTGGCAGCATTAATGACTTGGTTTGCATATTGCCTGATGAGACAGCTTTGTTTACAGCGTCGGGGTCCATTATCTGTCAATTTTAAGGGCCTGTTGTGCTATTCTAGGATGTTTATGATTTCCATAAAAAACGGAGCAGTCTATATGAAATCGATCCTGTCTGAGCAGAACAAAGAGACGAAACACACCAAAAAGATATAAAAATGTTCCCCGGACAATTTCAAAATAAGAAGCATCTGTGTCTCCGCTATAAATACACATCTTACTGGGAGTCAACTTAAATAGCACAATAATACTTTCCATCGGCTGATACTGTCTCTCCATCTTCTAGCAAGTTATTACTGTAACACGTTATTAAAAAAGTGGACCCTTTTATCCCTGTGGTTGACCAATCATGAAATAGACCATAAATCAAATTTTGATTCAGGGCGGATGTGAGAGCGGTTCTTTCCAACCTCTACTCTCTACCAGAGATCCTTCAAAATCGGTTGCAGGTCTTCAGTACAAGCACAGTTGGAAGGGCCTCTGGCAGAAAGTACTGACCCCCCTCCCCAGGCATGGGTCTGATTACTCATAATTATATATTGCCCAACGTGGTTTTTCATGACAAATTACAAGATGCAAGCAAACAATTTAAGGTGATCGACAGATGAGCCAGACTCTCCTGGGTAAATTTATCCATGGAGATTTATCCTTATTGAACTCCCCTTGATGAAATTAATCTTTTAAATCTACAGCTCAATTTAAGGACTTAATGCTATCAAATTATATTAGATAAATTTCGCATACCATTTCTGTGGGTTCGTAGATAATTTTTAGAAGTCGGTATATTGACCAGAATTGGATTTTAGTTTTCTATACAGAATGAATATCATATAATTGACTTTGAATAACATTTTGTTCTTCAAGCCTTTTATTATGGTTGGGATACTTTGTAACTCCCTGATAGTATGATTTTGCTAATAAATGTATGGTTTTGTAATAAATCACCGAGCAAATAAACTCTGCTATACTGCTCTCATTTCTATACACTATTTTGATCGAACTATCTTTATAACAGTTACTTTCAATTGTGATTCAAGTACTATCATTCTTTGTGTAAACGTATTTCAATATTGTCATTGTATAGTTACATTTTATATTGCTAATCAAGTCATCGCAATAGTAAAATGTACTTGTACAAAATATTATTTAAAAATTTTTAAAAATGGTATTAAGTAGTGTGAACACATTTTCACAATGAATAGCTGAGATAAGCATATGTTGAGGGGTGTGAACTTTTATTTACCAAAAATAAAAACCTCCTGCGTTTGAATAATTGGTATAATTCATGAAGACATTCATTTATATAAATGATGCCCCTGAATCCTAATCTATGGGCGCATTCCCATAGATTTTAGATCGATCTATCTCCGTGGGGAGTCTCACTAGATTACTATCAGATAATCCGGTTTAAATGTCCGTCCCGCCTACTACAAGCTGAAAGGGGATAATTAACTTTCGCGCCCGCTCGGCTGACAGCTATTTAGCGTGAACCCCCAAGGAGTTAGGTCGATCTAAGTTAGATCGATCTAATCTCTGGGAATGAGGTCTATCTTTCTATCTATTTGTATTCTTTATAAACACGAGTGTTGAGTAAAACTAAATCTTTTACTTCCGCTACTCTTGCACGGATACCATAAGGTTATTTGCGTATGAAAAATAAATATAATCATCATGTATATCTAATATCGTGATCAATGGAATTACTCCGTATTTTAATGCTGGTTCGACGAGGTGGGGGGGGGGGGGCGGTATTTCGGTGGGGTCAAGGTCAAGCATCACAGCGGTCCTCAAGGTCTTCGATCAGCGGAGAATCTGTAAATTTCCATCTATTTGTCCCAGCGGATAAATAGAATACGGCCTTCTATCAAATTGTTTGCAATCTAGCATATTATATGATTCATCCCTTGTGACATTCGTGATCTATAAGAAGTGAGCGTCTGCTTTGAATACGCCCTATGGCCGATGACACGAGAACAGGACGAGCGTAAGTGAATTGTTAGGTTTTTATGTCATTTCAAGGTAAGACGGGGGGTGGGGCAGCCATGCTACCCTGCAGAGTTAAATAGAACAATGGAAGCTCATTCAATAACTATTAAATAGAAGGTCTTAAGTATTCTTTGAAACTCGGGGTGTAACCATTGTGACTTTTGTAAAGATATTCACAACGCCAACGTTACCGTAATCTTACAAGAAAATTATTTACTTTAAGGGACGTCTTTGACAAAAAAAGTTTTCAGTAA